TCTTCTCTTAGTATGGGTGCATTAGGCAAGGTTCTCTGGAGGAACAGAATGGTCAGAATGTGTAAACATTATAAAAGGGGATTTATTAGATTGGCTTCCATGCTATGGGCTGGGTAGTCTGATAATGACAGCCCACGTGCTGGAAAGGTTGGAAGTCTGGTAACTTCTACTTCACAAAGCCGGATGCTTCAACAGTCCTAGTTTGGTGGTGAAGGCCCGGACGAACCCTGGAGCGTTCCTGATATTCAACTCAGTTTGGACAGCTGAATCTTATGTCAGCTGAGGATAGCAGTAGTGACAAGAGACAGACTCACTCTGGAGGAGGTGAAGTCAGACTTGCAACATTCATTTTTTTTCCCTCAGACTTCTTTATATCTAGGTCATCTATTGGAAGTTATCATCCAACCTAAGGACAGATCTTTCCCTTCAGTTAATCCTTTCTGGGAATACCTTCAAGGACACATGCAGAGGTCTGTCTCCAGGAGATTCCAGATCCTATCAAGTTGATATCACAGTGTCGTAGCTCACAGTTTAAAGAAAAATAAAACCTCTGTCCTTGTGCCAACTACATAATGTTCAACAAGCCAGAGAAAAGTCTGAGTGGTCACAATTAACTCTATGCCCTCGTCCTGGATGTCCACAGGACAATGACAGCGTCTTGACTCAGACGCTCCTACTCTACGTTTTTCTCATCAGTGTGGGGCTGGAGTATAATTTCCATGTGTCCACCCAGGGCCACAGGTTGGAAGCAGAGCTAACAGCTGGTGTTGTCAGTGCGGTTCTAGGGTAGCATCAAAGGGAGGAACTGCGTTAAGTGAAATAAGCCAGGCAGAAGAAAATAAGAATGAAAACAAGAGGGAAGCAGGAACAGACAGAAGAGCTGACACTCAGTGACACAGCAGGAGCAATGGCCCATGAAGGGGAACCCAGCTTCTTTTGAGCAAGAGGATGGCATCTCTGGCCTGGGTGAAGATCTAACATTGTGCACTACCCAAAATAGAAACAAATAAGCTAACCCAGTCAGGACCACCCCCGAGGAAGGGAAGGTAGGAGTACCCCTATGAAGTCTGAAGGTCATTTCACCTAAAGTGATGCTAAGGAATTAGGCAGAATAGTCATTCCCCTTCATGAGAAACCATCCTTTGCCCTCCCAGAGTTCATGCTCTGCAGCACAGTCCCTAGAGCCCACCATTCCTTCTCTTCCACATTCTTCCTTCAGGCAGCTACTGAGATCTGCAGCACGCCTGCCTTGGGATGTTCTTTTAAATGAAGATTTCTACATTTCTAATGAAATTGTCCTCTTTGAATAAACTTGGACTTGGCTTCACTTTCAAACCTTGCCTGTCTTTCAATTATTTAATCACTGGAGGAAACAAAAGTCTGTGATATATGTGACAATTCTACAAGACAGTACCCTTTTTTATTAGTGTATATTAAATGTTCAAGACAATGGGTTTTATTATTACTTTTCATAATACATATAATACACTTTAATAACATTTCATCCCATCATCCTTTCTTGTATTCTTCCTCTTCTCCTTTTCTCTCCCAGTCCTACCAACTAGTTATCCTCCCAATTACGTGTTTTCATTAAAAAAAAATCTAGATTCGGCACATGAAGGAAAACATACAGTGTTTGTACAGAAAGTGCTTTTCCTTTCCATTCCCAGAGTGGGAAATGAGTTAAATGATTAAACTATCAAGACCTCACAATTCTTTAAAAGGAAGTTGGATATGTTGAGATTCAAAGTGGATTGTGATAGATAAGACATAGTGTAGTTGGAGACTATTTGTTCATTTCCTGGGCACCCAGACCCAAAATAATCACAGAAACAGTATTAATTACAACACTGCTTGGCCCATTAGCTTATCCATGTTTCTAGCTAACTCTTACATCTTAAATCAACCCATCTCTATTAACCTGTGCATCACCACGAGATCGTGGCCTACCTGCAAGGTTCCAGCGGGCTCCAGTGGGTATCTTTCTCCTTCTGCGACTACATGGCGTCTCTCTCTCACTCTGCCTACTTTCTCTAGATGTCTTTTTCAGCCTGACTATATTTTGCACTGCTATAGGCCCAAGCAGCTCCTTTATTCATTAACCAATAAAAGCAACACATATGCAGAAGAGAATCCCACATCAACATAAGAAAGAAACACTCCACAGGTCAAATAAGGAAAGAGAGCCGTATAGCAATCTGTCAAGCTGTTCTTATATTTCATAGTTATTAGTTGGCTTTCAAACTTTATTCCCTCAAATTAGGGACAAGTTAGAGAAAAGTCGAAAAGAGTAAATTTCAAGTACTAAATCGCTTAAGGAAAAGGGATAGAAGTGGGAATAATATCTCAAAGAAAGTTCACACATTAAGAAATAATAGATGAGCCAGGCGGTGGTGGCGCACGCCTTTAATCCCAGCACTCAGGAGGCAGAGGCAGGCGGATCTCTGTGAGTTCGAGACCAGCCTGGTCTACAGAGCTAGTTCCAGGACAGGCTCCAAAGCCACAGAGAAACCCTGTCTCGAAAAATCAAAAAAAAAAAAAAAAAAAGAAAGAAAGAAAGAAAGAAAGAAAGAAATAATAGATGTTCTTATAACTAAAGGGGATTGGTAAAGTCACCAGGAGCTTAGAATAAGGACAGCTTAGTCCCTTAAAATTGGACTCAGAAAGACCAAAAAATTCTGCCTCCAGATTTAATACAATCACACCTCCCGTCAATTATTGCCAAACTGGAACAGCTGAGGCGAAGAGCAAGCCACAATTAGAACACAGATGCAAAGGGCTTCCTTGTAGAGTTTTCTGAGGAGGGAGGAGTCTGGAAGGCATGTGTGTCCCAGATGTAGCCCTGTGTGCCCATCTGGAGAGACACTGGCCTGAGCCCTTGAGATCGTGATGGCTGCACCAGCACACTGAGATGTGTTACAATTGAGCACACAGAGAAAGGCAATTAGCAGTGTCCCTCAGAGGAAAGCAAACACCATAGAATGGGGTCCTTCTCCAAGAAATTCAAGTTCAAGTCTTTCAGGGATCTCTCCTTTGGAACTGATCTAGAGAACCAAATGCCTATACTAGAAACCGGCATCCACTGCTTCAGCTTGGACGGGTTCGCTTCCCTATGTCAGAGTTTGCTGTCTCCAAAATGGAGGTGACTCCTTCACAAATGGACTAAATGGTATATCACACACAAACACAAGCACACACGCACACACACACACACACACACACACTTCAGAGTAGCATGGTTAACTACATCCTACATAAACTAAGGGATTTGAATAAAAGGCTCTCCGTGGACTTCTCTGTCTAATGATAGTAGCCCATTTTCTGCTACTATAACACAATGCATGAAGTTGGGTAATTTGTAAAGAAGAGCTTTATTTAGCTCACAATTTAGAAGCCAATATTTCTAACTCGGTCTCTCTGCTTTGGCCTTTATTTAGAAGAGGTTCCATAGCAGATGGTATGACAATGGCTGGATTGTGTGCAAGAGAAAGAAATCACATGACACAACAGATCATATATATAAACATGATATATAAATTGCATATATATATGCAATTTAAAAATTTCTAATGATATTTATATACTGGTTTATGGGAAAGACAACTATTTTAGACTCAAGCTTTTGAGGTTTATATGATTTGTTTATTTTTATTCAATTCTACCTCTCACAGAGAGTTCATTTAGGACAGAATAAATTAAGGCTGAAAGTGGCAGAAATAAACGTGAAAATGGCCAGTCCCGTGACAAGAGAAACCTAGATTTAGAAATCCAACCTGGAGATTAAGCTGCTGGAAATAGTCTTAATGTATATTTTAGTGGGAAATTGTTGACATTCTTTCCATACTTCCTGGCCTCAGCTATTCAGTCTTCTCTGCTGTGGTTAAGGGGAACATTCGGGACTAGATAACTTTGGAGAATTAGGGAGACAGTGCCATGCCAGTGGTTAGAAGAAAAAAAAAGAGTAAAGAAAGAGGAAGGGGAGAAGGAGGGAAGAGAGGAGAGGAGAAAGAAAAACAAAGAAAAAAGCAGAGGGCTTCAGTTGCCTGAGGAGAGCTGGTGAGAAGCGAAGGCTGGGAAGGCAGAGGAGGGCTCCGCAGAGGCTCCGTCTCTCCTTTGGCAGGGCCAACGGGACACACAGATCGGCAGTAAAGTAACCCAGGCAAAATATTAGAAATGGGTGTGCTAAGACATTATTTACATAAACTGTACAAATAAAAGCAAACTGCAAGAGAGGGTGAGGCATTTCTGATTACACCGAGGTGTCTCCAAACTAGTTAAATCATCTTCAGATGCATCCTCCAAAAGATGTGTTTGCTTATCTGTAGCGTCACATTTGTGACGAGGAGGAGTTGCAGTCAACGAGCAACAGTATAAAATGGGCACTTAGATTGAGTTTCTCCTCTTATTTGGACCCCAGACTTGATAAGACCTATTTGCATGAGAATTTTGAGATTGGGAGCTTTGGGGACTGTGGGCGTCCCATTTGCTGCAGTGACAGTCCTGCGTGTCTCCTTTTTTTGGGGGGGGGCAGAGTCACAAGCGTTAAATTCTTGATAGAATCTCTCCTGGCTTTCACTGTGGCCGTAATCAACTAAGAAGACTTTGCCTGGGCTATGACCTCTAATAAGATCATGAACGAATCATTTGAATGGAGCCCAGATAGAGAGACTGTGATTTAAGAACTAAAACCTTCAGATTCTCCACCAACAGTTTGGTAAACTCATCACGGAGCCCAGATTTGTGAGGCTAGGGGCTAGGAGCCTGACTGCGTTAATCCTGCAGATGCCTGGCGTCCACCCCACCCTGAGGAATCTAGAAAGAGGACCTCTCTCAGAGCCAAGAACTGCCTTCAGGGCTGCCCACAGCTCTCTTCTGGGAAAGCCCTGTAGAAAACAATCATTTTAAATAGATCATATTCAATTTTATTAAAAAACCAAAACATCTGGGGCATTGATTTGCAAACTCTGTAATGCCATCGGTATGTCTGATCTGGCCAAGATATTAAAGAGACATTTAAGGAGAAGTCAGTGAGCGTCTCCAACTCAAGCTTTGGCAGATTCAGTGTCGTGGTGCCTTGGGTAATTTGTCTTCCTTTATGTTTCTCTGTGCAAAGAAGAGGGGATGGGTCATTTGCAAAATAATTTACTGTGACACATCCATTATAGTGAACGCATGTACCACTTGCCAGCACTCCCGGACAAAGCTGCCCCCTCCCAGATGCTCAGCCATATGTCCTAGGCGTGATGTGAAGACCTGGGTGTTACGTTGGTGGAGAAGGATTTCTGGGATCTAGACATTTTAATAGAAATCCCAGAAAGCTCGGGGGCTGCTGGCTCGGGTGAAGGAAGCAGCGGGGAAAAGTCTGGTCAGCTGGGGGCTAGGTATTCCTAAGGATGCTTTCGGGCCCTGACCACAGGCTGGAGTGAGGTTGATGGTCTCACTGGGGCCAAGAGTCATGCTGAGAAATGCTCAGGCTTGGTTTATAGAGCTTTCCATGGCCCTTGGCTCAAGTTTCCTGACTTGCCAACTCCCACCCCACCCGGCTGGCTCTCCAGCCCCTGTCTTCTAACAGCAGCGACCCCTTGGCGATCAGAGCTCTGGCCTGCAAGTTCTTAAGTGCACAGCTTACCAGAGCTACGAGAAAGCAGCTGCTGCTTGGCCATGCTCGCTTCTGGCCTCCTGCCTATTGCAAAGCTAGCTTCGCTGCCTCTGCTTTTGGAATGAAACCAACGCTTATTGAACACCTACTGTATGGATGACATCTACGACGCCCAGTGACAAGCAAGACAAAATGTGGCATATAATGGGTCTTTGTCTTGAAAGACCCCACCGTCCAATTGGGATTTGGTAATCTCTTCTATGTCCTAGCAAACTTGAGCCACGTCTCCCAAGCACTTTATTCTTCAGTGTCTCCATAGGCAAAGTCTTCTATGGGATTGCTATAAAGTAATAAGGATAAAATGCTTAGAAGAGTATATCATCACAGTAAGCACTAGTAAAATTTGGCTAGTTCTTTTGGCCCTTCACACTAGGAAAGGAGCTAACAATATTATTTATCTGCCATATTTTACATTAAGAGTTTTGAACTCTCACTGTGCCATGTAAGGTGGACATGGCTGTTACTAATTCTTTTGTTTTGTTTTGTTTTGTTTTGTTTTGTTTTGAACACAGGGAGGCTCTGCCACATTGCCCGAGCTTTCTTTATTGACCGAGATAACAGTCAATGTCAAAGCCACGTGGTGCCGAAGCTTGAGACTTTATAAAGACAAAAGAGATTTGAAATAATGCTTCTAAGATACTAGAGGGTGTATGGTAAAATGATAGCCAGTGGATTTCCCAACAGTCCTTGGGGGACAACTCAGCAATAGAACTGCCTTTTAGTGTGGAACTGCCAGCGGCAACAGAGCTCTCCGCTCTTCCTGGCACCAGGCCTGAGGGGGCGAGGAGGGCAGAGAAATTCCTGGAGCCTGAGAAGGAGGAATGTGTGAGGAAGGCCGTCTGGCGGAAGCTGCCTGTAGCTCTGGGCAAAGGGAGATCAGTCAACCTGCCCATGACAAGCAGTCGGTGAGCCAGGAAAATAAATAACCCGTCTTACCTTCTCCACCTCTCCTTGCCAGGGCCCTTGAGCAAATACTCTCTTTGCTACTGTCCTGGAGGCCACGCTTCTTGGCAGGAAAGGGTGGAGGAACACAAGATGGTCCAGAGGCGCTCGGTAAGGAGGCCAGGCAGCCTGGGTACCTGGGCCAGCTCATGGTTGCCTCTGTTATTTTCCTGTGTTGGGTGACTTGTGTCCAGCCCAGCTCTTCTGGGCATACAATAAAGGAAGAACTTGACTGTTTTTATTGTTCTTGTTGTTGCTTTAAGACAAGGCCTTGCATGTAGCCTAGGCTGGCCTCAAACTCATGACGATCCGCCACCGTACCCAGATAATGGAAAGGTTTTCTACTCTGTGCGTTGGTGTAATTGTGACTCCCTGAGTAGTCAATTGAGGGCTTTTGCCCAAAGAAAAGAAAAAAAAAACTTACATTTTTTTCTTTTTTTAAAAAGGAAGTTTTTAAAAAGAAGTCTTGGAAATCCTCCTTTTTAAAACACAACCTTTGTGGTTTGTCTCACTGGATGTTCTAACAGAGGAAAGGGCCTGTTTGTTTACATTGCTATGCAACAGGAGGCATTGAGTAAATGGTTTCCCAGTTTTTATTATTTTAAACTTCACCCAGGAGAAAATTGATCCAAGCTTAAGAAAGAGCAGAAACAGAATCTAGAGTTTTCAGAATTCTACGTTTAATTTCAAGGAACAGATAATATTAACAAACAGGAGAGAGATTAAAAAACAAAAACAAAAAAAATCTCCTAGTTCTCATTTTCAAGATAAATTCCATATAAAGCTTTGTCTCTACTTAGAAAGATTATTTTATAGCCAACTTTGCATATTTCACACTAACAAACTCTGGAAGTTGGAAATATGTCACTTGTCACCAGATGTTACCAGAAGGTTAAACAGCTGTAGAATTCTTTCCATCTCTCTTTCTGACACCAACAACACATACCAAGTGCCCAGCTGAAGCAGTCTCAAGCAGGGACAGAAGAGGGCCAGATGTCACCTCATACCCTACATAACTTCAAGATCACCCCCCATTCTGTCTATAAAAACTTCAGATCCCCCCGCTGCACCATTTTCACGCGGCCAGGAGACCTTCGGTTTGACGTGCATGCCTGCGCCAGTTCTATCTGATGGGCAGCCTCGTGCGGTTGCTGGACTTTCTGCTCAAGCTGGAGGGGAAAATGCACACGAGTGCCCTGAACTTGGTTAAATCAGACATCTGGAAGCCAAGGGTGGGGAAAGGGAGCAAAGGTTAGGGAAAAATAGTGCTCGGTAGCAACCGGCAAAACAAACTTGTCTGGAGAAACAAGAAGGCCATGCGAGCAGGCATCTGCCTGGGCATAGCTCATCTTTAGAAACAGTGTCCCCCTGTTGTCTAACTCCAGACATACGGGTGAGAAGAGAAGAAAAGCCAAAGAAAGTCTCTACCACAGACGACCAGTGTTCGTGTTTTCATTCCTCTTTCCCATCTTCTGCCTGTATTCATTTTTATGCATATGCACAAATGTAAGATCAAAGACAGAAGCAACAGGCGTTTTCAAAGTAAAACTCGGAGTTATTATAAGCATGCAGTTTTATGCTCTTCATTCAAGCTGATCTTGTTTATGTATTTTCCCTGCCACCACAAATTCTCACAGCGGTTGTTTGTTTTAATTAAGTATATAACAGTTCATCCTGGAACACAGCATAATTTATTGTAAACACTGTGTGTATGGCATTAACATTCGTGTGGTTTCTAGCTTTTCAATGTTTCAAATAATATTTTTGGAGAATGTCTTTCAAAAATCATCTTTGTAACTCTGTCTATAGGATAAATTACTAGAAATGAATCGAATGGGCCGAAAAACACTTAAGCGAGGCATGGTGATACACACCTTTGATTCCAGCAGTCAGGAGGCAGAGGCAGGCAGATATCTATGAGTACAAAGTCAGCCTGGTATAGAGAGTTCCAGGACAACCAAAGTGATGTAGTGAAGACCCTTTCTCAAAAAGAAAGCAAGAGAGAATGAGAGAGAGAAACACTTAAAATCTAGAGCTCAAATCACCACCCGGAGAAGTTGTTCCAGTCTTGGCCTTCTGAGTAGCTTATGCAAAGAAGTATTTCAGGACCAAGATGGCTCAGAAGGTAAAAGCGCTTGCTGTCCAAGCCTGACTGCATGAGTTCTAGCCCTGGCACCCACAGAAACATGGAAGGAAGGAGAGATTCTACAAAGTTGCCCTCTGACACCACACACACACACACACCCCACAGTGTTTGCACACACTGATACATCATATTCACACAATAATAATACATTTTTTTAAAAGAAAGGAAGGAAATACTCATTTCATTTACATCTGGCTGATGTTGATGGTTGTCATTTTTAAGATTCCAGGTCTATTTCTGAAGTAGAAAATGGTACCTTCAGATTTTAAAATGTCATTATCTGTTTAACAGTAACTCTGAATATTTATTTACCATGCAAACTTAGCTTCGAGGCAACTGATTTCCTTTTGCATAAACTCGTCCTTGAGTAGAGTCATCCTCCATCTCAGGAAGGCCACCTTTCTAATATAAGTATTACAAACTCTCTGGAACCCTTAATGTGTAACAATAACGCCAAACAACTGATTCTCTCTGTCCCATTTTGCAACATAGTCACACTGGCTCTCAAAAGTCTGCACATCCTAGAATTGTAAACACAGATTTTGGCAAGGAACACTGGCCACTATCCAACCCAAAGTGACAGAGAAACATTCCTGTCATTCTGAGCCCGCAAGGGATGGGACAGGGACACAGGACCTAGTGACATAAAAATCGTTTGACAACCTAAGACTCACTCCCTTCTTACATGTTTGACAGGTGGATCAAGTCTATAGATCTTTTATTGTAATACCCTTGGCTGTGGTGTGGTTTGAATAAAAATGGTCCCCATGGGCTCATTGGTTTGAATTCTTAGTCCCTAGGGAGTAGAACTGCTTGAAAGGATTAGAAGGATTAGGAGGTGTGGCCTTGTTGGGAGGAAGTGTGTCACTGGAAGTGGGCTTTGAGGTTTCACAAGGCCATAACAGATCCAGGTCTCTCTCCCTCCCTTTCCCTCTTCTCCCTCTCCCTGAGGATCAGGATATAGCCCTCAGCTGTAGTTCTAGCGTCATGCATGCCACCCTGTTTGTACCCCTCTAAAACTATAAGCAAGCCCCCCAATTAAATGCTGGTGAGAGTTGTCTTGGTCATGATGTCTTTAGAGCAATAGACTGTGACTGAGACAGTTGTATTAAGTATAACAAAATTATAAAGGAATCCAGCTACATTAAAATATTGTTATGAACATTTATAAAAAAATTTTGGCATAGTGACACACATGTTCATTTATTAACATTAAAAGCTAGAAATATATACATACATACAAACACACCCACAGAGAAGAAATACCATCACTTAAAAGTGGTAACGAAGGTAAGGATATTTCAACATATCTACATCAATGATGTAATATAGTTTCATTTCTGTCAGTGACAAAGTCCAGGTATTGAAAGCACTGTTACGGGCGATTGCTTCATTTCTGCCTTGTTTCAATGAGTGCTAGTAAAAGAGAATTGTATTCTCACCGCCGAACACCTAAGTTCCCTTCATGAACCAACCCCTGGTTAAGAACTCAATGGTCAGCCAGGCTATATGCCATTAGTCCTAGGCAGGAGGATCTCCGAGTTCAAGGCTAGCCTGGTCTATAGAGCAATTTCCAGACAGCCAGGGCTATACTAAGAAACCCTGTCTCAACAAAACAAAACAGAACACAATGGTCAGTCAAAATGCCCAGGAAGTAAGAACCTGTGAGGAGACATTATCTCTACCTCCTTCCCACTACTAGAAATCTGACATTTTCTCTGGACTCTCTTTTTTTCTTTCTTCTCTTTTTCTTTTTTTCTGTAATTGCCACATTCTGGGAAGCTGTTGGAACAGTGCAGTGGGATTAGCTACAGTGGAAGATCTTGGGCAAAGGGCTGAAGTCATCCTATTAAAAATATTGTGTTTAGCAAATCTTCAGGCCTTGCTCATGGGCTACCCTGAGCCATGGGCTACCCTGAGCAACACTACCTACACTACACTGTGAGTCAATCCTCCATGCTTGGCACAGAAGCCCAGAGCTGCGGGCACAGAATTACTCTAACAGCTGTGCCACTGGAGAAGCCCCTGATATTTCTGAGCCTTAGATTTTCTTCATTCATAAAATAATTTGGCAGCGTATTGGTTCTGCTAAATTCATGGTTGTGTAAGATGTAACAATTGGAGGAAACTCACTGAAGGGCATAAAGAACTCTTACTATTTTTGTAACTCTTTTGTAAGCCTAAATTTATTTCAAAATAAAGAGTTACAAAAAATTTTTGAATTTCCCTTTTACCGTTAAAAAATACTAGCAACTTGTAAAAGAGCCGATTCTCCTTCCAGCTCTCACAATATTTGACTTGAAAACATTTGAACTCCCAGGGTGCTATGGTGGTTTCTGGGTCTCTCCAGGCGAGTGTTTGAGTGTTGAGAACAGAAAGCCTTTCTTGTTTTCTGAAGCTTCTAACTCCTTCATCTCCACGGTCTCCCGTTTCTGTTTTTCCTCATCCTTGTTCATTATATAAAATGAGTCTGTCCCCTTCCTGGAAGCTATAGAATGTGAACTCATGCTGACTCTAAAGTACAGCGAGAGCAGTCAGGACCTCATGCCTGGCACACTGTTCTCCCCTCTGGTGCCAGGGACAGGGTCATTTCAGCCCTGGTCACCATGTGCTCTGCCTTCTGCCCTGAAGCTCCTCTCTCCCTCAGTAGGTCAATCTACTTCTTGTGCGTTTTGAGCCCTGAGATCTTAAGCAGGGATTTCTATGTGTTGTACTGTGAGTATTCTATCCTCTTACTCAAACAGAGATCACAGAGGAAATACTTTTATAGCTTTTCCTTCCCGGTCGCCATACATTTGGCACTCTGCGGTATTCACACGACTGAACCCAGATCGAGGGGGTGCCCTGAGCTTCAGGTGTCAAAGAGAACAGGAGTGCCAGTTGAATGGGGTGGCCTGGCTGGGACAGCATGGGCCCCCAGGCCTGAAGAATACTAATGAGGCTAAAGTGAGAGACTCAGAAAACACCCTGCTCTTGGCAAGCCCAGGCAGGGTTCTCTTTGATGTGACGTCTTGCTTGATCTTGCTTTGTGCATCCGCACTTGTCCTTGGCAG